GCTGAGAGATGCACCATGCATTAACCTCCTTTCGTAAGATCGTAGATGCGATTGAGTGGATGTTAGATCCTTGCAGCGTCATAACTTACTGTTAAGTGAGTTGTTTACATCCCACAGGACAGGCCGAGCATCCATGTTGTCCTGTAGATTGACGAAGAACGCGGCGATTTATAATTCCAATACAGCTAAAAGTGCGTAGGTAAAAAGTTTGAAGGCTAAAATATCGATTGAGCGTAATGATATTGACGCGAATTATGCGCTTACGGACTAAATTTTTGCTATCGTCCTGGGCTAGGTTATATTATTCTTTATTGCTTATATTTGATTCGAACTTTGACGAAGTTCACTGCCTTGGTGTTTGAATGCTTCTACGCACTCTTTGGGTGCGCATATTTCCCTAGGTTTCGGTTAGTATCTTACGAATTTAAGTATGAATGCAGTTCTTTGGAACTGGGGCGATCGCTCTACAGGTGTCTGCTGATCTAGGGATACGATTTGTACATAATTACACAAATGGGTCTATTAACGCAACTAGTTCGAATGTTACTATGTATAGTTTCCATGAAAAAACTAAATGAGCTAAAAGTTGTGAAATAAACTGTGTTGTCTAAACAAGGTCGCGTGCAGCGAAATGAATAGCGGTGTCCTGTGATACACAAGCGTTTATTGGTTCGATCCCGCATCCGAAGTTAACTAGGTCCTTTATTCCTGCATAGTTGGCAAAGTGGTACTAGAGTGGTCTGGGAGGGTAAAAACATTAGTTGAATATACAAATGGACTATCGATAGAGTTTGTTTAGACCATAGTGCAGTCATTCCTCTACGCGGTGGTTGGTGAAGTCGAACGCATGGCGATTTATCAGTTCTGAACACTTTATTCTATATGTTTTAATACGCATTTAGTCACTTTTACGTTGCTTAACGAGGCGTGAAACGTTCTAAAGGATCGATCAACGTCGAGCGTTTTATCCTTTATTAATACTTCATTATCCATTGAAGGAGCCAAAAGTGGGTTACCAGGGCAGTGACTATTCAAAAGGTAGTTAGTGAAGTTGGCCATTATCTCTTCCGATTTTCATTATTTACATAGGCTAGTTATATATTAAGAAGGGTCCAATTCTATCAAAATGAAGGCGAAAACATCTTTAGCTCTCTGTGTGGTTGTATGAACCTCTACTCATCTTTAGCTCTCTTTTGTAATAAGATTGGCATTCCTGGCTCGAAAATCATTGGAAATGCAGGTGTAAAACATCATATACAAAATTGAAGTGGAAGTTTATTTTTTGAAGATTAGCATGAAGATTGCTAAGTATTTTTCTTGTGCAATACATCGTCTTATTGATTGAGAACAACTTGCATAGTTCTTTAAGTCGTTATAATAACAATGTGGCCTCTTGATAGTGAGGGTCTTACTTGGCGTTCTCCATGTGTACCACATGTGCCAATCGGTCATGTGTGAAGTGCAGCCGACCCAGCGACTGATCGTAGCTGCTGGGTGGTGTGTGTTATTGCGAAAGTCATGACTAAAAGTTCGAAAACTGTCGGACGTCAAACGAAGTTCATGAGAAGCACTTGAGAGGAAGAGAGATGTTGTTGCGAATCGAATCTATCTGTTGATGTCATTGTGATTTGTTAGTCTTTCAGTCGTTTCTAGTTTCTTCACTGTCGATAATACCTTGATGACCTAGATTCTCATTCCTATAGTTTCTTCATTTATTTCTTTAAGGGTAAATAGGTTTAAGAAATTTCAGTGAAGAAGCTCGAAATAGGAATTACGTAAACTAAAATGGCGAAATATAGTGGAAAATTGAATGAGACAAAACAGGTTTCATCGTCGTTGTTAGGAGTAGTAATGGTAATCGGCAAGTAAGTAGCTCAAACAGGTGCCAGTCTTTGTCACGTGTCAAGGTTGCCATAAAGGCTGTACTTTGTCCGTGAACACGGATAAAATCACATGGTTTACACATGGTCTCCTACTGTTTTACTCTGTTTTTGGAGAGTTAGAAACGACGTGACCACCAACAGGCCATTAAGACGACGGAAAAGTGCTTCTACTGTGGAAAATTACTATTTGCTATCGAAACTGCAAACTAAGTTCCATTAATGTAAGCTGCTAAGAAAGCCGTACTCTTCTGTCTGCTGTGGTTTCATATCTCCACATGTCTTTTCTCTTGAGTATTGCTTGCTGAAATCGGTCATCATTTCGTTTGGCGAATGCTTGACGTTGTAAGAATGGTGTTATCATCAAGTTGAATGCGGTGCATATAGTTGGCCTTTACTTTCATTTCCCATGTTACTCCATTCCAACTTTCATCTGACGTTACTGAGAGGGTTTTTGGACTACGTTCTTGGCAGTGAATTTAAGTAACCTTTATGTTACCTTGTAGCACTGTCGAATAGCGGTGAAATTCTCGCTGTGGCAATGTAGTATAACCCACAAAGGACCATTATTTATTTGAGCAGCGAAACCCAGGATATCCGAGGCTTCGATGAGTGGTTCTTTGTCAACTGAATTGAAGTTCGCTAGAAATGAGACGGATTGCTATCTCGTACCTATTGTTATGTTTCATATATCTCAGCGATCTCGTTTTCGTTGGTGTAATGAAAAAGGCAAGGAATATGCGAATTCGTGCACTCTTTTTCTTCTCATTCCTTTTTCGTATTGTAGACCTAGGCCCGTCATGATCAGGACGAAAGATTAGTTACCGTAATCAAAAGCATTTTCGAGGAAATTCGGGGGGAATCCCATATTAAACATGTGAGAGAGAATCCGATCTCCAAATTCTTCAAATTTATCAAAGAGCAGAGAGGTTGATAGGTTCACAAGAAATCAGGGTTCACAAGAAACATGAAAAACACGTGGCTAGTTTAAGATAACAACTGGTGGACAGGAGCAGGTTATTGATGACGTGTTAAGAGGCATCGTGCGCTTATCTGGAAGATCACACACAGGATGGTGGCACTTTATCACGAAAATTGTAATAGGGAGGGAGGTATGATGCTGTTTGAATCCCTTAACCGAGTAGAATCCACTTTGTAGTTTGACATATGAAGGGAACAAGGACGTACCACTGGCGAATGGTCGAGCAACTCAATCATCGGGAAGACAGCTGGTATAAGTGAATTACTATCTGCTTACGTCTCACCGAGAGTTAATTTGTGTGTTTCTGTGGGTGTCGAAAACAACAAGCTGTTGAGCAGGTTCGTGGCAAACGACGCATTGTGTGGGTAGTTGCATGCAGTATTTCGTCCAGTCTCCAATCTAGCGATCATATATTACTCTGTCGTTCATTAGTTTGCCTTCTCTGTTTTCCAGCTTGATATAACGTGACTTAATTCTCTGCTAACAGCCTGAAACATTCACTTAAAAAAATACTTTTACGTTTCCTGTTTACTTACAAGTTGTTGTGGTAAGTGCAAAAAGGTTGTTTTCTTTGTGGGGAAATTTCTATAGCTGCTATGTTATATGGATCTATTGATTAGGACATTGATTGACAAGATCACCCTGCTGGCCAGATGCTAACATAGAAATTCTTTCGATGTCATAACCTTAATAGAATCAAGCGGAAAGTAAGTCGCCGTGATCATTTACGCCATCACATCATTCAAAAATTCGAGAAGAAATTCTTGTTTTGTTGTAGTTGCTTTGAAATTAGAATCTAAATATCTCGGATGAGATGTTACCATAGGTATTATTTTGTCATTGTTATTAATGGACAGATATAAAAGATATAAAAAGCTCTCGGGGTTGATCAATCCCTGAGGGATGCGTCATGCATTCGACTTCATCAAATGTCGTTGGAGGTGATTGAATGCATATCTGACCTAACAGTGCCTCGCGATGGCACATCGATCTATCGATTCGGTGCTGCTATCCTCCCAGACAAGTCTGGTACCAATTCGCCGACTCCGGAGGGATGGAAGGCTTGGTGGACCATGGACGCGGTGATCGATTCCCCGTGTGTTGCAAGGCGCCCCCGATCACTGCGCTGGATGAGGCCGCATCATAGATATTACTTCGATTTATAGATCGATATAGGTAGATAGATACAAGTATATGATATAGATATATGTCATAGATATGTTTGAAATTATTAATAAGATTTAATCATGTATAATTTCGTATGTGTAAATCTCTGTTCATCCTGATCCCTATCGTCAGCCGGTAGGTTTAAAGTTTGTGAACCTTACAAAAATTGTGTGACGCATGACAAAATGTATATGTCTCGATTTTTTGCCCATTTGTAATCAAGTTGACTCCCGTGACTCCATGATTCCCTTAACTTCATGCTCAGCCTTTTGGTAGCAAACAGGACAAAAATGGGTGCAGATGTGGCGTGGCACTAAAGTATAGGAGGGGAGGTTGTTTATAGTGCATGAACGTTTAGCATGGACTGATTCAGCGTCGTATTCAACATATGGATAGAAGTCGTCTGCTCTTACTCCCTGTTTCTGTTCTCCGTCCATTCAGATCTTTGATTTAGTAGTTTCTTTTAACTTCCGATTCACCTATTTCCCTCGATATTGTTGTTATGTCCATGCTCTCCCAGTTGTGCCATAGACGTTCACAGAAGATCTATGCACCTCGTTTGATTCACAGTCTGATAACTGTAACTGCATATAGTAAAAGAAATGAATGAATATGCTGCTAGTAGAAATACACTAGAAGCAGCGACATCGTTCCATAAAGATGTAGAGCATGTGTCGCCGAAGTTCGCTCGCCGATGTTTTCTCCTTCTCGATTTTTTTCTCAACCACATTTCTCTTGTACAATGCTCATCTATCGAAGTATGTCACATTTTCTTCCATTACTCTCGCTGATACTTTCTTCTTGCCAGACCATGGTTTTTTCCCTGTTTTTTTTTTGTCATTCCAGTTTTTTCTCTCTTCTCATTTTTCTATTTGCTTCTCGTTTTATATTTTGAGCGGGATGGTTTTCTTACGTCGGTTTCAGTCTATACATCTTCGATTTTTTATGTGATAACGTTTGTAGATAAAATCATGGTCCTTCTTGGTACCAACGTCGACGCTGCGGCTCCAACACCTTGCGAATTGAAACTCGAGTCGGGACGTTGTATTCGCTACGTGGCGCCAAAAGACGCTAACCATCGAAAAGAGCTGTGCAGTCGTACAACTTTCGACGAGGTGAGGATGCCAGGACGAAAGATGAGTGGTGGACATGATGGTGAGTTTGAATGAAGAAGATGTATGTTAACGTGAAAGAGATTAACACTAGTGATAACTTCTTGCGTATTTTTCATTGCTAAGCTGACATGAGGTCGATAAAAATTTTGTTGGGTTAGAGCCGAATAAGGTTAGTAAAGCATTTCTTATTATTTTATTTCCTATGACCCGCCTTAACGTGTACTGTGCGGATCGTAGCACTTTCTACATTCAGTTCGTTTTCTCGCATTGATTGTCCACAAAGATCTTCCAACTTTTACGTGTGGCTCTGGCTACTACTTGAGGATTTTCATTTCATCTTGAATGTCGTAGAATGCTAATAATGTCGATTCTCCCTAGAGTACTGAGATAACTGGGCTGGAGCGTTCCCAATTGGATTTCAGGGAATGATTTTTTCCCCAGAGAAGTTCGGTACCAGTTTCCCCATCCTGGAGGGACGACAGGCTTGGTTGGACCGGAACAGAGTCGACCTAGCACCATTCTCGTAATGACCGACATCACGGCCACTATGCTATCCGTCCCCAAAGTTAGATTAGGTTGAATAAAATGTATGTTAACGTCGTGCTAGCCTACAATGAATGTTACGTATTGATTCGTCATGAAGAGGTTAAAGGAAGGTTGGTTTCTGTAACATAACTACTTCCTTCGTTCTGTTTTCGTTGACTATCTGTCAACGTTATTTAGTTATCAGTGATGGATTAGAGGTTATCGCAATGAACTCTAACACTATATAGGCTCATTTTTGTCTCTTGCTACTTACTCGTGCTCAGTTTTTAATAATTAGTGATACTGTTGGTGCTCGCACACATCCTGATTTCCAAAATCATGTAATTGCCATGAGTACGCGTTGAACTAACTATAAAACACCAAGTTGGATTGTGCTGATATCAGACAGTTGTCGTCAAATGTTGATCAAAATATATCCCATCCCAGAGAAAACTCATATTTCACCCAACGTTTTGTTGACGTCATCGCGACTACTGTATCTGCATCTGAAAAAACAATCTCTTAATCTCTTGTTTCAGATCCAATAGTTCGAGGAAGATTACTTGTTAGTATGAAAAGTAGCAGTTTTGTAGTCTTAGTTGCTCGAAATGGACCATGTGATGAAATGATTAGAGGTGCTCTGCAATGCACACACAATTCCTTGTTGGTTAAATCAACAACCAAGGACCAGAGCTAACCAAGCTCCTCACCGCCTGGTGTTGGCAGATTAGTGCCAGTTAAGCATTGAATCACCTACGTGTATTGGCGTCTTGTACAGAGATGAAATCGGAAAGGATTGATGATTACCGTTTGCCTAATTCTTCATCCTTTGGTAGACTTAAACGCTAACATGATGACACCGAGACACATCTTGGCTTACGGTTAAGTGGTTGCATTTGCAGTCGTCATCGTTGGTGGTCCGCAAAAACGACACATTCAAAAAGGCTTATTAAACGCTGAGTGGGTTAAACATTTCACGCTTAACGCTGTGGATTTTTTCAAATTATAGTTCATATTGCAGTTACAACTTTATTTTAGAATGTATTTCATCCAGAGTTCATCTTTCTATAATTTGTAGTGGGAAAAGACCTGCAGCGATCCTGGGCTTGGAGGGTTGTTTCAAAGTCTGGCAGTATCGCAATTCGAAGTGCTAAAGACATTACAGTTTGGCCGACACCTTTGTTTTTTGGTGTTTTTGACCATTATTTTCTATTAGTTGTTAGTATGATTTATGTACCAATGTGCCAAATTTAGAAAGTAAAAAAAATAAAATGAAGAGAACACGCGAGAAAAGAAAAGAGGGCTCAAATCTTTAGTGGAACAGATTAGCATATTTTTGGAGAAGTGAGAACCATCGAACTTATTTCACAGTAGTTGGAGGTGTCCTGCGGTACATACGTGGTCGCTGGTTCGACCATGCTACCGAGCAAAAGAAGATGCTCATTCCTTAGGGGTCAGCGAATTCGTGCCAAACTTGGCTGAGAGAGTAGAAACCCAGGTGTTATACAACGATAGACTACCGTAAATCATTATATCCTTAAAACTGGAGGAATTCATGTGAATTTCAATTTACTTGTCTCACAGCCGTAGCTTAGTCCTTGTAAGTGACTAGTTTTTGTTCCAAAACACATGATGGATATCTGGTAAAATGAAAGAAAAAGAGGTCCGAAGGATAACAGTTACAATTTACAAATCCATTAAATGAATTATCCGATGTTAATATTCGTACATTTTAAAACCGTTTTGGCTTTTCAGCTCTTGATCAAATGGTATGTTGGGAGGGTGTGAATTCGATGTGTTGGGTGTTGGACTGCATTATTGAAGAGGACAAAGAAACAGATTTTTTTGAAGGCAAGAACGTGCTTGAGGTGAGTTACATGTTCCAACTTCATATTTTCCACCATTGGAAGTAGCATGTCTCCTTTTAGCAGTGGAATAGACATTGAGCCTTACCAAGTATCGTATCGCTTCAACCTGACCTCACATTCTGACTCATTGAACATTTTCCTTCTAATGCGTCGATTAAATTAACCTAGTAGGCTGGTTAGAGTGGTGAAGAAAAGGTTGAATCGTCGTGTTGTACTTTGTAGTGCAACCTTTTAGATTTATTGTATAAGACAGAACCACTCCTTGATTGATTATCGCAAACAGGACAGCGCTGATTTTTAAACATTGATAAGATGACAAGGTTAAGAGAAGATTGCAACGTTTCCAGCAGACAACGATTCTCACGAATAGTAATCCATACTGGTTTCGCGTTGATACCTAGAACATTTCTACTGATATGTCCTCGCATTGTTTGCATGCTTCTTTCTTTTCTCGTGATGTTTCTTGCACGTGGTGAAGATTCGATCGGAACTTTTTGTTTTGGGATCCGTTAATAAGCAGGTTAACTTAGTTTCAGTGAACAACTCGTAGTAGTCGTTGACTGCATGTGGAACTCTATTATCGATAAGTTATGTCTGCGCTGTCATCAGTTTTTGAGGTGTCGGTCTTCTGCTGTTTCTTTCCTTTGCTTTTTTTTTTGAAATCGAACTCTAGATGACATATGACATTGAATCGAAAGCTGTGCGCGGCGTCTTAAGAAGCAACTCTGACGTTTTATTTATGAGCAAGTTGTTATCGTTCGCCCCGAGCAAACGAAGATTACACCCCACTAGCGGTTTTTCTAGAGATTAATATTGTAAACGTTATAGCCTGTGTTCTGACAAAGTTTGTTTTTTTACTGCGCCAGTAAGCTTTTTTCCGAAGCTCTATGAAAGTCGGATTACCGGGAATTCAGTTGTTTGTTGGCCTTAATGGATCAGAAGTGGGTTTGCTAGGATCGACGGTAGTTGGTACCTCTATAATTTTTTTGGGCATCCCTCGTCAATGTGGTGCTTCCAGATTAACGGACACGTTACTGTAGATAACATTTCGATTCCCATCATAATTTGCTTTCCACCATAACACGGCTAGCTCCGAGGGAATTTTTATTTTTTTGTAAGGAATGAAAGTAATGACATGACTTATATTTACAGATTGGATTTGCTACTGGCATTCTGTCTGTCTTTGCATACGAGAATGGTGCCAATGAAGTTGCTCTGCACAGTCCAGTACGTTCTTGATCAGTAGTGCCACTAAACTTCTTCGATTATTTTATAAATGAATATGATTTGATTATCAACGCTTTAATTTGTCTACTATTGGGTGCTTTCTGTTTTTAGTCCAAATCTTCACTGGATTTGTACTGTATACCAACAATTCGCAGGAATGCGATTCCTGACAATAAGTGCAAGTTCTCCAGTGGTGACTTAAGTCAGATGCGTAAGTCTATTGGTGGAAAAAAGTGAGTAAGACTGCTTATATCACCTTACTGTATCCGTGAAATAGCCATATTTACACTTACCGTATTTATTCGGTACGTTATATTTTTGTTAGAAATTTTTTGCCTCTCTAGGTTCGATGTGATCCTTGCCGCAGAACTTCTCAATCGTGGTGAAGAAGAGTTCGATATGGTGCTCCAAATTCTCGACGAAGCTCTCAGCCACGACGGCATTTGGTTTGTATAGCAACTTTCCAATTTTAATAGATAATTCTAACGATCAATCACTGAAGTAACCGTTTTAGCTTCCTCTCCAGCCCTACACATTATTTCACCGTGAACAGTAATCTGACCACTTTCATCGAAAGGGTGAAGATACAAAGGAAGTTTGATGTTATCGAGCGATGGAGCTCCCCTCGTACCGATGTTGTGCAGAGTAAGGTAAGAGTTAAGTCTACTGTTCTCTAGAAAAGTCGTCATGTCTCAAATACAGACTTCTTAATATTGGAATGAAGACGTACAAGTTTTTCTTGCATCGAGGACATGCCCGTTGTAACAATGATTCATTGCCTTAGTCTTTTTTTGTTGATTCTCACACCAGACATTATTCTGCCATGACAGTTGGACTCATCAAGAAATTCGCTATTCAAGCTGACATCTTTTTATTTTGCAAAGATCGCTTTCGATGCGCGTAGCAAACATCTGACAGACCCTGGTTGATTTCTGGAGTTTCGTTTTGGTGAAGTATGCTTAAAGGTCCACTCTTCTTACGAGATTGATGTTTGCCTGAAGTTTAGAATGGGTCAAAAACTTTTGCTCCACTGTAATTATAGGATCGAAACGATCCTCGCAGTTGAAGAACTGAGCATTTGTGAGTTTCACGAAGATCGCTTTACATTTTTCGTATCCTCTCATTTCGCTAGATGAATTGCACAATCGCTTTGTTTTGCAAATACTTTTCAAACGTTTTATTTGAATCACTGAGAAATTCCAAGGTGAGTTTCCATATTTTTATGTATTAAATCGATATCGTACTATCTAGCACATCGAAATCCTCTGTGCTTTTTAGGTTATCCAGTTGACGCGATCTCACTACTGATCTGCCTCCGTTCAACAGTATTCCAGTTTACTGGAGAGTTGTTTTTTTTTGTAGTGGAGACATTACCAAAGGTAGTGGCAAAGGCTATGAACCCCACATGAGCTAGAACTAGGCAAAAATCTCTTTTTTTGTGCCTCAGGTGAAATACTGACTATAATATTCATCTTTTCAACGACATCTTTCGCCTTTCTGTGCTCTAACAGCTTGATGTTCGATCTATTGAAGCCTTTGCCATTCCGGATGACTCTACTGCAAAATGACTGATCTGCTCTCTGAGCAGTCCTTATTGTGTTATAATCATAGTTTTGTTTTTGCTGTATTTAAGCAGACGCCGTGGCGAAGTGACCCTTTTGCAGTGGCTGATCTGCCCTATGGGTGGTATTCATTATATTTTTTGATATTGATTCTGGAGATATATAGCTTTTTAAAGCACCCTTTTATGTTGTGAATATCGATTTTCTCTCCTCTCAGTGAACACGCTCATCTTCGGCAAATCGATTACGGTTATTGCTAGAAGTGTAGAACGACTTCAACGAGTGTAGTGTCGATTAGTTTGAAGTAATTCTGTTAGTTAATTGTGTTGTTTTTTCTCATTTATGCTTTTCTGATAAATCTTCTATAAGGCGTGTTATAATCAACGAGGTTCAACATCAGATTAAGAAAGTGTACGCATATTAGGGACGGTAATGGATTTCCGATAACTGCTCATAACGTTCCTAGTACTACTGTTGCTGAGGAGTTAGGAACCTCGCAGACTTATGGGACTCTTTTATGGTGTTAGTGGCATACATGGTCTTCTGTGTGGTGTTCAGGTCCTAAAGAATTCTGGAAATCTGGAATCGAAGGCGCTCTTGAAAGGGTGGGGCAGAATATGGATTCTTAAAACTTCCGACATAAACACGGCAGATATGGATCTGAACAGTGATTTGTTGTGCCCTCTGGATTCCTTCTTCTTCGTCTGCTTTCACATTGAAGAAGCGAGCCTCAACAGAAAAAGTCACAAGTCATATTGATAGACTAAGAGAGCATGTATCTTATAGGCAAAGATCTATAGGTCACAGTGGCTTTTTATTTCAATTTATAGCTTCCATACTTGCTTTGGCATGATGATCTAGAAAGATTATTACTACCGAGGCTTAATAAGAGTCGGTTTGGAAAATATCAATTGGTAGAGTTTAGAATAACCCAAGATATATTAGTTTAAGATTGAAAATGGCGACTATCTTCACACTCTATGAGTTAGATGTTATTCATTGTAGTAATAAGCCCTCTAAAGCTCTTGGCGTTGATCAATCCCTGAGGGACGCACCACGCGTTCGACTTCAATAAGCATCGTTGGAGGTGATTGAATGCATACCTGGCCTTTACAATGACTCGCGGTGGCCCACCGATATATCTAGCCAGTTATCTCCTCCCAGACAAGTCTGGTACCAATTTGCCGACCCCAGAGGGATGGAAGGCTTGGTGGGCCATGGGCGCGGGGATCGATTCCACGTGTGTGTCGCAGTGGCGCCTCCAACCACCGCGCCACACACGCCCTTTTTCATCGTAATAGTGTTAAAAATATAAGGAACAACGTGAAGATGAGCACATGGATTTGCATTTGAAATGTCCAAGGCATATAGGACTCTAGCTCCCACGTCGTCCTCGAGCGGTTAATCGGTTAGTTGCAGATTTTGCTATTCTCACTGTCGTTCTGGAATAATCCAAGTCGCGGTGAACTTGCCTCGAATCCAAGTATGCCGGCAACTTCCTATGGTGAGCACCTGAGAATACCGTAGTACGGCTATCTTGTGTTTCTAAGGAAAATCCAGTTTGTTCGCCATTCAACAGCGTTTAAAAATGCGACACTCTCAAGTCGCAGTCGAATTCACACTCTAAACCGGTGACTTCTATGGATGACGGTTGCGAGGCAATGAAACAAATGGAAAAATTTCTAGGATCCATATACCATATGAAAATAGATCATTTCAATATTCAAATAAGTGGGATCACTATAATTTCTTGAATATTTGGATGACTCATTTTTAAGAAAAACGGCACGAACCTCATCACGTTTCCATCTAAAAGGTGTACCGTCGTCTTGATATGATTTCTTCACTTATTTCTGAGAAAGCTGTACTAGGTGTTGCCACTGCTTATTGGGTGAAGGTATGCCACCTTACCATGGCGTTCCTTGCAGGACGGTAAAGATTGTTGGTACTAGTTTTCGAGTTCCTGTATAACAATGTTAACATGTATAACTTCTTTGCTTTGATGACAGTACCGAGTTGCTGTATGTCTCAATCCGATGTATGATAAGTAGAGCCACCTACAGTCAGGATGTGGCGGTAAACGAATTGGATGAACGGTCGGTGCTTCCAAAGACACGAGATTTCCACCACATGAACGGAATTTGTTTCAAGCTGTTTGACATTAGTTTATGGAAGTGTTCGGTAGAGTTAGCTGTATGTGCTGCTAGATAGATATATATTAACAATATCGTGTCGGCTCATCAAATTACGAAGACCGTTGACAATGGGGCGAAAACCTATTGCCATAGAAACCGACTGCAATCACTGACCACGAATAAAAGGCAACGCCGAATTAATCGCAGCATTTCAGGGATTAAAGATTGAAATTTTGAAAGGATACGGCATGACACTGAAATTTAGCTATTGTTGTCAAGTTAAGGGACACAGTGGGAATGATGCAGATCATTGGGAACATGGTGTTGGTGCAACCTCGCATAGACTCACCAAACCTCTCATCTCTACGGCGACGTGAAATTGGTATCAGATTTGCCTGTGAAAAGTTCTGTCTCTGCACTACAAACGGGAACGCCTTGGATCGGGTATACTAGAATTTCGGAGAGACTCGATTCGACTAGAATTCATTAACATAGACGGCAATCCTCAAACAGCAGCTGAACCAACATGCGAAAAGTTTGAAGGCGTTTATGGGCGATGGATGCGAAGCGGCGAACCGTTCGGTTCTGTGAGCAGTTCTGAGTTCCGCACAGTAGATTTGAAGAACGGTTTTGGTTAAATAAATAAATTGATTAGTTAATTTTGGCGTTGTTCAGTAAATTACTCAATGGTACGTGAGATAACAAAAAATCTTTCTTTCACATGTGAGTGAAAATTAGCTAACGCCATACTCTAAGTGTTAAAATAATGTTTACGTGCAAGCTGTGTAAAAACAACGAGCGGTAGAGCGTCTAGCGTTGATCATCCCTGAGGGATGCGCCACGAATTGGACTCCATTAAAGACCATAAGGGTGACTGAGTACATATTTGGCCCATACAACGAAGTTAGGTGGCGCGATGTATCACGTCATTGTTTCTATCGTCCCGGACAAGTCTGTCACCAATTTACCGACCCTGGAAGAATGGTTGCTTCCTTTTGCCCTTGTAGCGTAATTGAGTCAACTAACACACGTGTATTGCAGGCATCTCCAACCGGTACGATAAGCGCGCTAATACCTAGGTATCATTCCTAATCTTGCATAAGCTCCATTTGCTTAGTTCGGGACCGAAAATTTGTACGACCAAAAACGATTGTAGGACAAAGCGGAATAAATTGAACTTGTGTTAATTTGAATGAATGTTTTAGCTTTTCCATTCCTCAAAAGTTCTTCTTTTGACAGGTATGCTGCTCTGCAATTATTCCCCACTTTTCTCTTTACAAGCAGTTGTTTGCTCAGCACTGAATTATTAATGGAATCAAAAAGGAGAGCCAACTGAATTGTTTTGAAATTTAAAAGGCTATTCGGCACCAAGATATTACCGTATTCTAATTTTCTATAGTTTCACAGCCTGCACTACATCAATCCTTGCGAAAAAGAACGGACCTAGAATTCTTCTTGATCCAAGGGACGAGTACAAATCGAGTGGGTTACTGGTGATAACTTGGTTTCTATGACCGGTTAGACGACAGCCACTTTACTTTAAAGACTTCTAATCTAACCTTCTAATCAGAAAAAGAAAACGTTTGAAGTGAAATTGAAAGCGGGGTAATATGAGAACTTGTGTTCGCTACCCGAGTTCATAAACAATTTTAGGGGCAACTTTTATTACCTTAAAAATTTTGAAACTTGGATTTTCTTACTTGGACTACAAATCTTGGAGGTACTTTTGATATGGCGTGGATACAAGAAGTGATATCGTCCATTCGTAGCGATCCTGAACTTCTAGAGCCTTCTTGAGATGTTTCATTGGGAATGAAGTTGGTTCGAAGCTAGCAAGAAGACAAGGAGATTCACAGAAGAGAAATGTGCTCAGCGGCTTGACGTCTGCCGGCGGTTGCTTTCTATTGTGACGCTCCGACAAGTGTCATAAAGTCGTCAATGAATTTTCTCGTTACCAATATTATGCTCTAATGTGGTCGT